GCTGCACTTCCCCAGTGCTTTGCCTCAGTGTGGTGGGATCATCAGATGGGGTGCAAGTCCCACACTGTGTCTCTGGTGTTGTCCCCCCAAGAGCCATGGGTCAGTGAGGGGCATCATGTCTCATAGTGGGGTATCTATTTTTTTTTAATCCTTGTTTTTAAACTTTATTCCAAGTGATCACCTGTTACTTTGAAAACGAGCCCCCTGGGTGGTTAAATTGATGGGAAGCTGTTGATTTGAATTCACCAAGAGACAGAAGGAGACAGTCCTGGCAGACAGTCTGCTTCCCAAAAGTGACAGCCCTGAAAACCCTGTGGATCAGTTCTGCTGTGTCCAGGAGGGAGGGGGAGGGGTCGTCATTCCTTGATAGCAACTAACAGTTCTGAAAGCATCAGTTGGCCTTTTCAATCTTCATTCAAACTCTCTACCCTTGAGTAGATTCTGACGCATGGCTACCCTATAGAACAGGTGGGCTGCCCCTGCGTGTTTTTAAGACTGTAACTCTACAGGAGTAGAAAGCCTCCTTTTTCTCCCTCGGAGTGACGTATGGTTTCAAACTAACCCACCACACCAGCACACCTTAGATTTATTTGTCTTTTGGACTTACTGTTCTAGATCAGTAGGTCTCAGACATTTTAGTCTCAGGGTCCTTTTATTTTTTTTAAAAAAGATTGAGAGTCCCATAGTTTTTAATTATGTAGGTTATATTTAGTGATAGTTACTATTTTGAAATGTGAACTAAGAAAATATTAAGCAGTTATTTTTAAATCTAAATGGCTGATTTACAAAACATTTTAATGAGATGTGCAATTGTTTTACGTATTTGTAAATTTTATTTATGTCTAGCTTGATAGAAGACAGCTGGACTCTCAAATTGCTTCTACACTCAATCTGCTGTGATAGCACACATCCAGGAGCCTCTGCTCTGGAACACTCCCTGGTGCCCTCTAGAGAGACTGCCAGTGAAAGGAGTGGGGACAATAGTTTGACCTCACAGATCCCCTTGAAAGAAGCAGTTCCTGGACCCCATTTTGAGAACAGCTCCTTTAGGCCAGTAAACCAGCACACCATCTGGCACACTTAGCTTTAAATGGCTACTGAGTGCCACGATGTTACTTAGAAACATGATTGAGAGGAAAGTTTCTAAGGGAGTTGTTTTTTTTTTTTTTAAGTGAGTGAGTGAGAGAGTGAGTGAATGAGAGAGTAAGTGCGAGAGTGAATGGGAGAGTGAGTGAGTCTCTAAGGGAGTTTTTTGATAAGATGGAATCTTTTTGTATATTCAGAAATTTGAAAATCCTGACATAAATTTTTTAGGGACGCTATTAAGTGAGGAACTGACTTGATGGGCTCTAACACCATTTAACAGAGGGAGCCAAACAGTCTGTGAAACTCTCCAAGGGTCACTTGGTTCTCTTTGCATAGTGATGGAGCTCTATGTGTGGGGCCCATTTCCTCGTCCATTTTCTTCCCATCTAGCTGAGTCTGCAGCTCCTTCTGGAAGCACCCCAGACGAGTCAGCCCCAGGTGAGGGGTGGCTTTCCTTCAAGTTGTTAGCACTTGTTAGTGGTCTTTGGATTCTACTTTTTCATATCTTTCCATATTCATGTAGTTTAAATTTGCCCTGCTGTTAGGTAAAGGCTCTTTAACCTGTGTTGTTGTTTTCAATAAGAAGTACGCTTGAAAAGTTGCCATGATGAATTGGATTTTTAGAATGCTTGTTTACACAGCAGGTACACCTCCCTCACCATGAATCCTGAACACTTCTCTTCCCTGACACAAATGGTATTGTCTGGTCCAGACTGATGAGAAGCTATTTGTTTTTCATGCCTTTGAATATTGTCAAATATCATGGGGGGGGGGCGATGTATTCTAATAATGTAAAATTAACTATTAAGAAGCCTAAGTGGCCTAGCTGCTAACTTAGAGGTTGATGGTTTGAACCCATCCAAGAGCTCCAAGGAGGAAAAAGGCCAGTGAGCTGCTTCCATAAAGGTGACAGGCCAAGAGGACCCATGGAGAGGTTCTGTGCGCGCACACATGGAGTTTCCACATGGTGAAATCTGGCTTGACAACAGCTAGGAGCAAAATAATATTCACCATCACATTTGTATTATTTCTAGTACTAGGACTATTAAAAGTGTCGCATATTGGTTAAAAGCATAATATATTGAATAATGTGTTTAGTGCTTCTGTTCTGCCTCCTCAGTCACTATGTGATGCCAGGGGTCCACACAGGCATACCAGCTGGTCTGTATTTACCTGCAGCAACAGAACCAAGCAGATAGGAATGCTACTGTCTGGTTAATTGTCTCCACAGACAACTTGTACTTTGCCAGAGACCAGAAGAACAGAGTGTGGTTGGTGTCTGGCTCCACCACTAAATGTTTCCATCAAAGACTCTAGGGAAAAATCCTGAGCAAGGGGGAAAGCGTAGAACAGAATTTCAAATCCTCATGAACTTGATAAATTTTCTGGAGCCAAGCAGCCTGGATGAATCCCAGAAACTGTTATCCTAAGATAAAAATCTAGTTTAGAAATATTCCCGCAAGTCTCCTTAAAACCAAACAGTTTGAAAAAACAGCAACAACAAAAAACTGTTTAATAGCTGAACTCGTAAAGAATGCCTGTGCCTTGCATTCTGCTCTTTTAAGAACTGCTTAGGGTGAAGCTGACAACAGCAAATTGCAAAATTAGGTTAGGAGCAGCGAGTTTATGCTAATAACTGGGGAACAACTCCAAAAAGGAGGGGAGACCAGTGGCAGGGCTCAAAAATGCTATCAGTTTCACTGAACTGTGTGTGTGGAAATTTCGGTTGGCATGTTTTTGTTAGGTGTGTTCTCAGTGATAGCAAAATAAATTGTTTTAAAACTTGAACGTACTGAAAATGAGTGTACAAAAGTCCATTTTATCGCCGTCTAACAACTTAGAGGCTTGACTGTGTTACTGCACCGTGAAACCTCCGCAGGACTCTGCCAAGAGTACGTGTAAATTGATGCTTGAGCTGTGTTGTGTGCACAGAGACATTTTCACACGTTCCCGTTCCTCTCCTTTCAGCTGTGGATTTCTTCAACCAGATCAACATGTTATATGGAACCATCACCGAATTCTGCACGGAAGCGAGCTGCCCAGTGATGTCTGCAGGTCCACGGTACACACACTGTTTATTAGATAGGTGTTATAGGTGAAATAAAGTGGTGTTTTATGATTTGCTTTTTTTGTGTGTAAAGGCAATTCAGTTTTACAAGTTTTCGAATACTTACCTATAAGCTTTTAGTTATTAAATACTCTATCCTGTGAGCTTTCGGTATCTTGATTTTTATCACTGCTTCCTAGTAAACAATGTTATGTTGTAGGAGTAAAGGAATAAAAGATTTGAGTTTTAATATTTCTGATTTTATTAACATCTATGGTTCCTGTTTCTATTCTGTAACTGAATTTCTTGGTAAGTGTTTTAGATGGCCTTTTATTATTTGATGAGTATTTTCTTATCATATTTAGTGTTGACTAAATCAGCACAATTTACAAACAGTTATCTGGCTTAAAGATGCTAGATTAAAAAATATTTTGACTATAATAAATTTAAGGAAATCAAGAAAAAAAGACGAACACTTCATCACCAATAATGTGTCAGAGTGTGGTGGGAGTGTTCTGATACGTTTCCTTCCGGTCTTTTTTCCTGTCCTAGAACACTCGCTTTACGAAACAGTAGGTGGTACCCAGCTGGCGCTTCTTTAACCTTTCTAACTGTGCTGCAGGTACAAAGGGAGAAAGATCCCTGATGAGTGTGTACTTAGTATGTTTTTGTTACAGCGTTTTAGGAGGGATGTTCTTATTTTTGTGTTGCTTTGTTCCTCAAACTTCTTTTTAAATTAAAATAGAGAAATTACATTGATCTGGGAAGTTTTGCATGTGGGAGGGTGAAGCACGCATCGCTAATGAAGTCTGCCACCTCCCCCGAACAAGGTTTATAACCCTAGCTCTATCGATGAGCATAGTGCACTCACCAGTCCCTCACCGGCTCCTCAGACCCAGCCAGACTCACCTCCATCCAGCGGATTCCCACCCACAGGGCCCGGTAGGGCCGGGAGAACTGCCCCTGTGGGTTTCTGAGACTGTGGTCTTGACAGGCGTGGGAAGCTGTGCCTTTCTCCTTTGGAGTAGGTGGTGGTTTCAAACTGCTGACCTTGTGGTTTGGCAGCTCATCGTGTACCTGCTGCTACACCAGGGCTCCTCTCTCGCCCTAATAGACAGGAGTAGGGTTCCTGCATGCACAGTCACTCCTTCTTAACTGTGTCACGTTTCAGAAAACTACTATAGGGAACGCTCCCTAACCTTCAGTAAAACTTAGAATAATTAAAATGATACTCAACTTCTATTTATAATGAACCTGTTATGATTACAAGTTGCACATTTGTTAACATTAAAAAAAATATTTCTCTCTCCAGATACGAATATCATTGGGCAGATGGTACTAATATTAAAAAGCCAATCAAATGCTCTGCACCAAAATATATCGACTATTTGATGACTTGGGTTCAGGATCAGCTGGATGACGAAACTCTTTTTCCTTCTAAGATTGGTGAGTTAATATTGTAGAAGTGTTTTACTCTTCAGATGATAACGAATGTTATGTGATGTTCTTGTAACATGTAGACTCGAATTCCTCTCAAGACAAATGTATCCCCTCCAGCTGTTTGTGTCAGCCTGTTTCTGCACCAACACTGGTTATTATTTTTCCATCTTTTTTAATCAGTGCACATATATTTGTTTTAATGCCTTTTTAAAAAATATTGATGAGATCTTCTTATGTTTAGATCCTTGTATGCTGTCTGTTTTTTCTGTCCACTACTTCATGTGTGAAGGATTTCAACCCTTTGTCAGACAGGCTGTATATATTTTATTCAGGCTGTCTTTTGTCATCTTTTGTCACGAGTGTTTTTGTTGTATATACATGGCTTTTTTTTTTCTTGTAATTTTTTTCCTTTTTCACCTCTGGGATTTGTTTTGTTTTGTTTGCACTTACTATTTTTTAAAACTAAATACTTTTATTGGGGGCTCTTACATATCTTATCACAATCATCTGTTGTGTCGAGCACACTTGTACACATGCTGCCATCATTTTCAAAGCATCTTCTTTCTCTTTCTTTTTTTTTTGCAGTGAGAGTGGGGCAGTGAGTGAGTGAGTGAGACAGTGAGAGTGAGGCAGTGAGTGAGTCAGTGAATGAGTGAGTGAGTCAATGAGTGAATGAGACAGTGAGTGAGTGAGTGAGAGGCAGTGAGAGAGTGAGAGTGTGAGAGTGAGGCAGTGAGAGAGTGAGTGTGAGAGTGAGGCAGTGAGAGAGTGAGAATGAGACAGTGAGAGAGTGAAGCAGTGAATGAGTGTGAGAGTGAGGCAGTGAGAGAGTGAGGCAGTGAGAGTCACATCTTTCTACTTGAACCCTTGATATCATCTGCGCCTCATTTTTCCTCCTCCTTCCCCCTCCCTCTCATGAACCCTTGATAAGTTATATATTATTTTCATATCTTACATTGTCCTTTGTCTCCCATCACCCACTTTTCTGTTGTTCGGCCCCCTTTCTCCCTCTACCTTACCCCATCCTCCTGGTATCTCTACTCATTGATAAACCTGAGGGGTTTATCTATTCTGGATTCCATGTGTCTTGGACTCTTATCTATAACAATGCGTGCTCTGGTCTAATCTGGTTGGTAAGGTAGAATAGAGGTCATGATAGTGGGGGGAAGGAAGCATTAAGGAACTAGAGGAAAGTTGTATGTTTCATCAGTGGTATACTGCTTGCACCCTGACTGGGTCATCTTTTTTTTTTAATCACTTTATTGGAGCTCTTATTGGGAGCTGGTGTAACTCTTATCACAATCCATCCATCCATCCATTGGGTCATCTCTTCTTGTGACCCTTCTGTGAGGGGATGTCCAATTGTCTACAGATGGGCTTTGGGTCTCCACTCCACCCCCCACCCCCAATTCACATTGGTATGATTTTGTTCTGGGACCTCTGGGTTTCAATACAATGATTGGAAAGGTTTTCTTTTCTTTATCATTTTATTGGTGGCTCTTACAGCTTTTATAACAATCCATGCATCAATTGTATCAAGCATATTTGTACATATATTGCCATCATTATTTTCTAGACATTTACTTTTTTTTAAATCGTTCCAGTTTTAGTATATGTGCTGCTGAAGCGAGCACAACATTTACTTTCTTTTGAGCCCTTGGCATCAGCTCTTTTTTCCCTTCCACCCCCCATCCTCGTGATCTCTTGATAAATTATTACTATTAACATAGCTTACCCCGTCCCTGTCTGCCTTCCCCCATGTTTTCTGTTGTTCGTCCCCCTGGAGGGGGTGTGTGTGGTTATGTGTCGATCATTGTGATCGGTTCCCCCTTCCTCCCCTCTCCCACCCTCCCTTTGGAAAGGTTTTCTTAATTTTAAGATTATAAAATCAGGTGGTTTTGCTTTCATCGGTACTTTTGTGGTTTCATTT